ACCGCACGCCTTCTGATGTAAGTGTGCTGCACATGTGGCGGGTCCCGCTCCACTCTCCGTTAATGGAGCCTGTGCTGTGATGATGCCAGTGTGGAGGAGAGGGGGGGGGGCCAGGGGGGGAAACACAAAGTTTCTTTACAAGTTAAAAGGTGATGGAGACGCCGGCGTTGTGTTCGCTGCTGGGCAGGCGATGTAATCGGTATGCTCAGGTGCCGCGGGTGGAACTTTTGTACCTCCTGAGCACAAGCTCCGGATGAAGCCAGGGGCAGAATGCAGCACAGTTCCTAATGCCAGCAGTATAAACAAGGCAAGTGGCGAAAGAGGAGCCATATTTGTAAGTTTTAAAACCTTGAATGTGCTCTCATATCGCCGCAGCACGGTCCGTTTTGCTCGAAAATTCCTCATTTACCGAGACATTCATTTGACGCGTATTTGGCGCGTTTCAGGACGCATGATACCCATATAACCAATAATCGGTGACATTTAAAAAGCAGAGCCACGATTAACGTGTCCTGGAGGCAATATGTTTCAGATGAGCCCGGCTTTTCCCATAGGAAATCGGATTTAGAGGTGTACCCGCAGCTCCAGCAGCCTGAGCCAAGTGCGCACTGACGACGGGCACGCAGTGGAGTGTCCCCGGTGAGCAGCGGCGCAGGAGGACGACGAAGACACGAGTGTCAAAACACACCCACCTCCTGACGGATCGCTCCCTGTTCGATTTGAGAAACTCCGTATCGTCGTTTCGACCCGAGTCAGATTGGGATTAACCATTGGATAAACCGCGGCGCCGCGTTGTTGCTCCAGTTTTCCATAACTAGGACAAGCCGCCATCTTACCGAGAAACAAAGGCAAAGCGATTTTCTGCAAATATCCCGTTTATTCGACCCAAACGACAAACGTATCATTGCACCTTATCATCACCGAGAACACGATGAGCTACAACCCCACCAGCCAGTGTTAAACACAAGCAACAATGTAGAATTTTTGGCTGACAGCGGTCGGTTCGTCTTTTTCTGCCCCTCCTACTCACTAATGACCCTGGGCACGACTCCTAGCTCTGTTTGGTTCACACTGCCGGTGACTAATGTGCATCTGCGCCACTCGCTTCCCTCTTTTATTATCTCTCAACTCCGTAACTAGTCGAATATACACCTGTCCTTCTGGTCTGTGTTGGTTTCTGTTGGGAAAAGTAGTTGAACATGGTATTAACGCAGAAGGAGGGACAGTTGGGGCATCGCCATACTTAGGGTTTGCAGCCTACAGATTATTGATGTACAGTATTTTTACAGACTGTCTCTAAGCGCTGATTGGCTGAGATACAGGCAGGACTTTGAGTGGATGGCCAATCACAGAGAAGCATTTAAATATCAGCGCAACCAGCATAACGTCGTCCTTCATGATATAGTAGCTTCTGTAGTCATTTTGTAAAGATTAGTGTTAATATAAGTGATAAGTGTTTTTCAAACGATGGTTTGTCATCCAGTTTTGGTTCACATAGCTAAATGAAGTAACTGTATTGAATTGCAGTTCTAAAATTTTGTCAAGTCTAATTCATCTTTATGTATAGCAAATTTTGCATATAGTAGGAAAAAATGAGCACGTTAATCTAAAGATATTTAGATGAAAGAGGTGTAGATAGTGGAAATAATGATGAGACGGAGAGGTAAAAAAACAGCAAAAAGGAAGTGGGGTAATTAAAGCAAACACAATAAACACTAAAAATGTCAAGCACAGATTAAATTCCCAAGCAAGTAGGACTGTAAAATATGGATTTTTTTTCAAACTAATATGGATAACTATCTGGCTGAGAGGTTAATCTGTAACTATAAACAGAACAGGAATCTGGATTAGGATTCCTCAAACGTGTGTTATTTTGTATTGAGAGGGTCAGGTTAGTAATACGAAGGCTACTGTGATTTTGTCTCACTCTTATTTTTATTTTTGAAACCTTGTTAGTAATTAATTGTCAGATTTGTTAATCAGTGATCTTGTGTGTGCATTTTTCTACAGGTCAAAGAACTAGTGCTTGACAACTGTCGCTCGAATGATGGCGAGATCGAGGGTCTAACAGATGAATTTGAGGAGCTGGAGTTTTTGAGCACAATAAACGTTGGCCTGGCGACAGTCGCTCACCTGCCAAAGCTCAATAAACTGAAAAAGGTAAGTGTTTTTTTTTTTTTTCCGTTAGCTTTATATGTGTTCAACTTCTAGCTGTGCATTGTTGTATTTGTTCACGAATCAACTTGATGAACAGCTTGAACTCAGCGACAACCGGATCTCAGGAGGGTTGGAAGTTCTAGCAGATAAATGCCCCAACCTCACACACCTCAACCTCAGTGGCAACAAGATTAAAGACCTGAGCACAATAGAGCCATTGGTAAGTATGAAAAAAAAAAACCCAATATTTACACCAATCACTGAGCAGTGGGTTCCATTGTTGATCAAACCTTTAATGGATGTTGTGACAGAAAGAACTGGGGACACTGAAAAGCCTCGATCTGTTCAACTGTGAAGTGACAAACCTGAATGAATACAGAGACAACGTCTTCAAGCTACTTCCGCAGCTAACGTACCTGGACGGCTACGACAAAGACGACAAAGAGGCTCCAGATTCTGACACAGAGGTTTATGCAGAGGGTTTGGACGATGAGGAGGAAGATGACGATGGTGAGTCTTATACTAACACCAATGTTTTTTATTTACGGCCTGAGCTGTGAATGTTATGATTCGATTTTGACATAAATATTAAATCATATCACTCAGATGTAGATGAGGACGACTATGATGAAGATGCAGCACCAGGAGATGAGGACGACGAGGAGGAGGGAGAGGAGGATGAGGAAGAAAATGAAGAAGAAGAGGAGGAGGACCTCAGTGCAGAGGTTAGATAAATAAAAATTGGTATTGGTAAAAACTTTATAAACGTATGTAATTTACACCTGTGTCTTTTACGAAACAAAGGAGGAAGAGGATGAAGATGTGAATGACAGAGAAGTTGATGATGAGGATGAAGAAGGTACAGTGTGTGAGTGAGTTGTAAAAATGTCAAAAACCCAAATTTGGTGATCTTATTTTTCTTTGGTAACATTTTTCATACGACTTCTCTGTAGAAGAAGAGCGAGGTCAGAAGAGGAAAAGGGACCTGGATGAAGAAGGGGAAGATGATGAAGATGATTGAGTGTCTTCTTGAAGCTCAGTTTTGAACTATTTTAATCATGTGTCTCCCCAGCAGCCCCGTGTATTTTCTCCCAGCCCTAGTTTAATATTGCCGTAGGAGTGGTTTCTTGTTCCTGGCCAGTCCAGTAGAGGGGGGGGGGGGGGGGGGGGGGGGGCTAAGAGTGTTCATAAACATACATACATTACCTTTAATGCTCCTGTGTTCAGTCTTTACTGTCCACTTTTGACTGCTCCGTGGACACACACATTTTTGTAATATCCAATGATAGCAAACATGAACCTTTTTAAGAAATGTTTGTTTTCTCACTGTTTGTGTAAGACAGGTGGGGGGACGACCTGTGTATTTTAAGACTCTGTTTCAAAAGAAAACATAAAAATGCGGGGGGAAAAAGAGTGCATGTCTATTACATTTTATAAGTCAACTACTGGATTTCATGTATGGCTGTCCTCTCCTCATCTACAACTTCTTGTTTTTCATTCATGTAAGTTATGTGTTCGTAGTGTCAGTGTCAGCAGTTTGCCAATACTCTGGCTGCCCAGTGTGTGAAACCTTTGTCTGAATATGCATATGTGTGACCCTTCATGGGGGCATATTTTTAAATGTCATAGCAAATAAGAAAATGTCTGCCCTTGTCAGAGGTCCTCCTGCTCCTTAAACCCACAGCTTTGATAGTTCGGAAATTACGTGTTCTTGTAAATACTGACCAAATCTATTTTTTTGTATTCTCTTTGATGAAGGCAGACATTGAGCAGAGATATGAGCAGAAACTATGAATTGTAATAAGATATTAAATATGTATGCTGTTTTATCTTATACACAATGCCGTGTGCAATTTTCTTGAATTTGGAGACAACTTTGTATGCATACTCTCGCCACAGAGACGCCCGCTCAACATAAGAGTCCATTTCCATTTCGGTGACGTGCAGGTGGCGATGTTTGAATTTGTGCTGGTAGTTTAGAGAATTGAGAGTTGATATGAAGGTTTCAGCGGCGGTGTGCATTGAAAGTGTAATGTTCCAGTGTTTGACAAAAAGCCAGTTACTAGAAGCTTTGTTTTCACTCGTATACACATTGGTCAAATTGACCTACCTCAGTAACTTCACACGCTGTTAAATCCACTGTCATCACGCTGTCATGGTTCTTTCCCGCTCTCCTCCTCACTTCAATAAATCCTTTTTTGTATATTTTGTAGTTTGTGGTTCCTGCACAACAGTACAACTAAGTGGTCGTTCAGTTTTAAGACATGGTTATATGTAATATTTATATTTATAAAATAAAAAGTCAATGCAGTTTAACCAGCTACTGTACAGTTATAAGAATAGAATTAAATGATAAACTTCCTCATGTGCATTGAATTATTTCCCATGTGCTTTTATGTAGTGTGCCCTTTTGTTGAACATTTGTATATAAAATGGTTTCATTATGTTTTTGTTCAAAATAGATGTTAATATTTAGCAACAATGTGGGCTACATTAACTACCAGATGTTATAAACCAGGTGAACTACTTCTGAAACCAATGGAGAACCTTTTGGTCTACAACCAAGCTTCACATATGCCAATGATCGATTCCCTTCTTAACAAACAGTAATTGTAGAAAATTGGCTTTATTAAGTGCAGTAAAGTACTGAATAAGAGATAGATAACACTGTATCAGGAATGTCTGTTCCTGATATAACAATATCAGGAACAGACATGACAAAAATGTTTACAGTGAAGTGCAAACATTTTGATGTTGTCATTTGAACCTTGAGGAGCTATGGTCGTTCTCTGGAGCACCCAGAAAGATTTCTATTAGTGCTCATCACACCACAGCCATGACAGGAACCCAGAATTCTCCGGCCCACTCCTCCTACCCCTGGGCCACAGACTTAATCCCTGACACTCTTTGATGCCTACACTCCCATTCAGTGCAGCTCAGGAAAAGAGGAGAATCAAAGTCCAGAGTCGATGTGTTTTATTAGAAAAGAAAAGCCCACACATTTGTCCAGTGTTTGTCAAAATGAGGACATTTGAATCAGACTCAGCTCGTCACACATTACTGTGATCAGGACTCTCTGCCCTGACACCAAAGCCTTCTTGGCTCTTCTAATGCAGTTCGATGACCATTCTCATTACACTATACTTAGCAAGTCATTTCTTAGACTGACACTAACACCAGCATTTCTCTTCAACATTCCTTATCCTTCATGGAAACTCACGGAAGCTAAATATTTTAGGGCACTAGAGGAGAGGTGAGTCTTTTTATAAATTCCCATACTAATGAAAAAGCTAGATGACATATGATTGGATGATAATAAGACAAATGATAATATAACACAAGACTTGTTTGCATCTGTTTCATCCCTTTTCTGTCTGCCTACTTTCAAACACCCGAGTTCCTTTAAGGACATTTTCTTCAATCCTTACAGATCAGTGACATCACCGCCCACAACCTGTGTAGCAGAAATGATCCACTTGAACCCTTTTGTACAGTCACTCAATAGTCCTTCATCAAGAACTCTCCTTTCATTAGCATTTAAAAATAATGTTTAATTAACCTAAGCTGAACTTGTTGATAATGGTAGAGGAAGGACAAGGAGGAAGAGGAGGAAGAGGCACATGGATTTGGAGCAAATGTACACATTCAAGGTGTTTTTCTGAAGCGTAAAGTAATCTACTTGATCTAAATGTAAAACAGATGGTTATCATGACATTTGGGTATATTTCTATACTTTTTTTTCATTTATGTTGGTTCCAAAATAAACACATTTAACTCAAGCCTTGCACCAGTTTAACCATCAACAATCTGCACAATCTACCAGTGTCACATTCACCACCGCCACATCCACATCCAGTAAAAACAAAGGGATCACCTGATGTAATTTACTTAAAAATCAGAAATGTGACAAATAAATAGTAATGCAAATACATTGTACATCACGACCAAGACGATTAGCCCTAAATCCCAGTTACAGCCTGCAAGTCTTTCAGAAGACATCGAGCCTCCTCAGCTGTGTCAGCCTTTAGTTAAATAAAATCAAATAACACTGTGTTTGTGTGTGTGTTTGGGTGTCTGGAATATTAATAACACTGTGTTTGTGTGTGTGTGTTTGGGTGTCTGGAATATGTACTCCTCAAAAATAACTGCAGAAGACAGTGATGTGAAGCAAATTTACAACCAACACTTGCAGGCCAGAGGAGAAACGACGAGTAAGCAGCTGAGTGGAGAACATGATCTTGGTGTCCTAATCCTCTCCTTGTCTGTTGCCTGCAAAATTATGTCAGCTCAGCCATTTTGAGATGACGCTGCATCTCTCTGTAAACTGTGTCTGCAGCAGTGTCTAAGGCCTTAGGGAAGAAAAAGAGGACATTTAAAACAATTGAAAAGTCTTTACATTTTCCAGTTTTTGCCAGGAAAAAAGGCAGAGTGAGACAAACAATGTGTAAGGATTAATCCTCAGACTGAGATGAATGACAAAGAGAAATCCTATCATTATTTTTGACGTAGAGCGCAGTTGATTTGTCACTTCTATTATTTTGCTGTTATTACAATAGTAATGTAATAGTAATGCAGCGCAGCAGGGGTTAATTTAGAAGATCAGAATGTAATATATGAAATAGAAAGAGTGGAAAGGCTCAGAAGAAGGCTGGAGGTCAAAGGGAAGCAGTATTTATTCGGTCCAGTAGGAGGCAGAGGTCAGACGTTGTTGGGGCTAACGTTCTTCAGGTTGTTGAGCTCCAGCTCCAGTTGGCGTATTCGTACATCCTTGCCGTTGAGCTCTTCCTTCAGACGCCGGAGCTCCTCCTGCTGCCGGAAAAACATGCGCAGGAGCTTTTGGAAAAAGATGGGAGATATATGTAATAATAATAATAATTAACACAGAAAAGAAAGTCCCAGGTAAAAAAAGTTCTTTATCCATTCCACAGCCACAGCGATGAATGCAATGAAAAACATTTTTAGTATCCTCTACCTCATTCTCTGTCCTTGGAGGAACATTCTCCAGGAGGTCAATTCCGTTCACCACCACACTCTTCTTCTCCTTCACTGGGGCCTTGAACACTAACTGGTTTGGCCGATGGTAACCTTCTTTCAGTGACATCAACACTGGGTCTGTGTGAAGAAGCCAGACTCACATGTTACTCTGCTTCACACTGAGTTTGTATTCAAACAACTTTGAGTCAGTCAAAGCTATTTTCTCCATATGGTACATTAATATTTGATTTCTTTTGTCAAAGAAGATCATTTTATTTTTATAAGGCACAAGTCAATGGAGCGCGTGTGTTTCCTACCTCTGTTAATGCCACTCAGCCATTCACTGGCAGACAGAGCAGGTTCTGTTCCTGCAGTCATCGGGTAGATATCCTCCTGGTATGTGTCTGACTGTAACCAGGAAACACACCACATGCATTTGTTGTTTTTGTAGTTTGTTGAGTCGAAAAAGTCAATTTTGTAAAACGACAGAAAATGTGCTGCCACTAAAGCCTTAAATGTAACTATTTGCCTGGGTTAGAAAGAACCTTTTTCAGAAGACCTCCCTTTTTGAATTTCATTTCCTTCTGGTGTATTTTGGTCAAAAACTTGAATAAAAAAAAAATAACACTAGAGTCAATTGATTCCTTTATTGCTCCATTTCGACTCACCCGTCTCGGCACAATCATTGAAATGGGCTCTATCAAACCCTTCAGCGTGACCAGCTTGTAGAAGCGGAAAACCTCACAGGCTGCCACGTCCAGGCCGTGCTTCGGCATCACACCTGCAGACAGGAACAAACGTGTGTTGATGACACAACCTGCTCTCATGTACAAACAGTTGATCAATAACACCACTTGCCCAGTCCTTTTTGTGGCGCCGGGGAGCGAAACTCCATCAGGTACTGAATGTATGGCTTCTCTGTGGTAATCTCATAGTAGCGGATGTTGCCGTCACCCTGGAAATTGAAATATGCATCTTATTATTGAGGTAATTCTGTTCTAAATGAGATCGAGTCTGACTCTTTATTATTTAACACTGACAGTATGTTATTATAGTAACATGATAGCTGCTGTTATGTGAAGTCATGTTTTTTTATTTCCCTGGAAACATTTTTCAAATAAATGCACTAGGTCTTGACATTCCAATGCTTTTCTCCTTGTTCTTCTTCTTCTGGCTGCTACCTTCAGGGGTCGCCACAGAGCATAGTGGGCCTATCATATGTGAGGGTAGAGGAGCAGACAGTCTAACCTTTCCTGCCAGGTACAGCATGTGTGTGTCAGCATCGTAGAAGGGAAACAACAGTCCTGAGAGACCGTCAATGTCCTCGTCCACGATTGGCATGGACAAATCCTCCTAGGGACGGACAGCACGCAGAGAAGTAAACACACAGTCACACAGAAGCTCCTCCCACTCTGGCATTATAGGCCTGAGCCCATATGGACATGGTGTCTCACCTGGTCCCAGAGAGCGATCTGTCGCGTGTTCCAGCGAGAAACTCCTGTGGTGAGCAGACGCTTCGTATTTCCCAGGAACACCACTCGGTTCACACGGTGGTTCTTACAACTGGCTTGCTGGTGGATCAGATAGCAAATGTTACGATTCAAAGATTGTGTCCAAAATCAACCACATGACCAAAGTTCCAAAGTTCTTTTTTATTCAAACATTTCCCCGTTTTGGACCTCATTTAGACATTACATGGACTGTGATGGGACTCACACGGGGGTCTAGATTCTTGGGTGAATAACTTCACTATCTCTCCTGACTGTACGCCTCAACCTTCTCCCCATATCTCTGACTCTGTCTCCAAACTGCTCAGCACCAGCTGTGCCTCTGATCTGCTCCTTAAAGTCAATGGTCCTCATCAAAAAAACACTTTATTACCCTGTTAAAAGTTACTCCTGGACACTGCAGATAAAGCAGAATTCCACACTCTCTCACCTGAAGGACTCTCCCAGAGCGGGGCTCAATGACCCGCAGTTGCCTGTCCTTGCAGCTGGTGGCCAGTAGGCTGCCGTCTGTGTTGAAGGACATGCTGAGGATGACGTCAGTGTGACAGTCAATCATTTTTACCGGTTCGCCAATCTCCAGGTTCCAGGTTAGTATCTAGAGGAAGAATTTTTCATTTTCATTTTCTAACGTCTCAAAAGCCCAGTTCAGCAGCTTTATCTGCGTTAATTCAGCCTCATGTTACTGATAGAACACCTTGTAGTCATAGCCAGCACTGAAGAGGATGCCACTGCTGGTCGGATGCCATTCAATGAGTCCCACTCTTCTGCTGTGACCGTACAGCTCCAGCACTGCCTCGGTCATGTTGCGTCTGAGTCCACCCTCTGGGATTTCCCATATTCGCACCTGCAGATCAACATATACATCAACATAAACATATACATCAACATAAACATATACATCACCATAAACATATACATCAATATAAACATATACATCAACGTAAACATATATACAGTATGTAACATCTGGAAGCATGGACGTTCTGTCTTTGGTTCTCTAAAGATAAAAAAACACAGCTTGTTTTTTTTAGCATAGACTAAACAAACTGTCTACCTTTTGTAATTTTATAATAAGATCAGTCACACGTTTTACTGCGTCAAGACAGGTGATGTAACGCAACATTTAAATACAACAGGTTCACCACTAGATGTTGCTAAATCCTATACAGTGTATATTTAACATGTCACATAGAACGTGACATTAGCGATATAAGAAAACGAATAAATATATCCACGAGAAAGAAGGACACATTTCATTAATTTACTGCGGATCATGTTCTGTCATTTGTCAGAGATTCACCTCCTCTAATAATCCCAAATACCACATCCTGTCAATGGACCGCATTAGGATTAGATTGGATTTCAGGCTCTGTCACTTGAGGAGATTATTTTCCAACAAGTGATGGTACATTACATAATAAAACATGTCTGCTACTTTACAGTACTTAGTTACCAGATATAAATGTAAACATGTTGGGGAGTTTTTCAGGACACAAAAAATGGGAAACATTTGATTTTTATTTGAATGTAGAACTTTTCAAACTCTTTTTGAAAAATGTGTTTTCAAGAGCAACTTGGTGATTACTGAAGTCTGAGATATATAATCACAGAGAGTAGGTCACTCACAGACGAGTCCTCGGAGCAGGACGCGATGATGTTTTCAAAGAAGGGATTCCATTTGATGTCCAGAACATTGCCTTGGTGTCCACACACTTTCGGGTAATGAGAGTCCAGACGACCAGACTGTGAAAAAGCATACAATATGGAGAATTACATCTTTAAAAAAATAAAATAAATGACAGCCTTGTTGTTATATTTATAGACAGTTTTGGAACAGTTTCCTCGGCCATGACAACACTGTTAAATGTTAAATGTTAAAATTCTGGGTTTAACAGGTTAAAGCCACAATTAAAGAATAAGAAACACGAGTAAAGTTAACAACTCCTTAAATAAATCCACTCATCTTCCACTGTGCTGTTCTTTTCAGGGTCCATCACACATTCATAAACAAACAGAAACGTGGCTGTCTACCCCTCTGTGTCTCTCCCTGGTTAATAGCTTAATCACACTCACCTGTGTCTTGTTTTGTCTCACTCCTCACACCTGGTCATATACACCCTCTCCCACACTGAGGTTTGATTTGGGGGTTAGTTGTCAGGCTGTAAACGTGTTGCAGGACCCATCTGCCCTGTGAGTTCTGCCTGGTTCTGTGTGTTTTCCATTGGCTTGGTTCTGTTTATATTCGACCTGTTCTTCTCTGTCTCTGTCTCTGTCCTCCCTCTGTCTCTTTTCCAGTCTGCCTGGTCTGTTCTGTTCTGTTCAGTTTTGTTCAGCTGAGTTTTTGTTCTGTTTCTTCCCGTTATTGAGTTGGACTTGATAATAAATTTAAAAATGAACTGTTTCCTTGTGTCGCCGAGTGCTGTGGTCCCTATACCTGCAGCTTTGTCTTAATGAATGGCCGAATGTTAATGCAATAACCCAAAGAATCCACAAAGGGGCGCTGGCTCACAGCGACAAACCACGCTAATGTTCACCTTTTACTGTTTTTCCTGTCATAAATGTTTGATAACTTAAATCCATTGACCTCTTTTTTTTATTTCCTCAGAGACGTGGTTAAGAACATTCCGTTGTCATCTCTCTCTTCTCTCTTCGTGTGTGTGTGTCCACACTTAACTGTCGACCTCTTACATTATTAAGACTATAAACAAACCTCTCCAATGACTCTTACATTTTTGTTTTTACAGTTTACTAAAGCCTTGGAAATATGCAGCATCTCAACATATACATTATGGTAAGTTTAAAAAAACCAAACTTTTTTAAAATAAATTGTGAAGACAATTAACATTGGGTTTAGATGTTGTTCAAAATCAGGCACAATGTAAAATAGGCAAAAATGTGTTTTCTTGTAGGCTTTTACTAAAACACAAATGTCTTCAGTCTCCCTGTTAGACCAACCATCTCTCAGTTCTCCTTCAAAACGTCCATGAATATTTGTTGGCATTGTACTGTTTTTCCTTCTGCCTGTCAACTTCATCTTTGTTCTTTGTTGACTATATCTGCCGTCCATTCCCAGTACTTGTCTGAACTACGTACTGTAAATCCTGATAATTAAAGGAAAAACCTTCATGTTGACGTCTAGTCCTGTCTGTCATCGTCTTTAACAACATCACAATATTGCAGGTTGTGTGACCTTCTCCTTGACCTCTGCTGTGTTCTTACTGTCACAAACAATCCCAGACCAACTCTACTCACACCAGCACTGTCTTCTTTAAGCCCTTATTTGCTGTGTTGTACCTTTAATGTTAAAATGTAACACAAATTTCACCTTCTCCATCGTCTCCCTCACCGTTCATTTTCACATTCACACACTCGGCCCTCCACCACTTCAGGTTCTCCATCAGCTCTCTTCCCTTACTCTACAGACAACAGGTCTGGTCTGCAAACATCATGGTCCAATGAGAATCCATATAGTCAAAGAATTAAATTGCTGTCCACATACATGTACTGCGCCACGCTTACGTGCTTTTCTGCTAGTCCGCACATCCCAGATAAAAACAGCCACTGTAAAAAAAAAAAAAAACTGCTCTACAGCACACAGACCATCATTAGGTAATGTAGTGTGTCTGTGGGTAATATCCTGTCGCTAAGGAGCCTCACTGCTGACACGCAACTGTGCTGGACCAGATACCATGTGTCCCCAGTGCACCGGAGGTACCACCCATGTCTAACACTTCTCCTGACTGTTCTAATGTATCTTCTGCTACAGCAGCAGCAGATGCAAAACAGCAAACAGTCACAAGATTTGTGCTTGGAAACCATAAAGTTGCTTCAGGGTGTAATGAAGGAAATACATTCAAATTATATCACTGGCCAGGAGGAAATAAGGGAGTCATCTAATTAGTTTGTTTGTCGAGTCATCAGAAAAAGATTTAATGTACTAGTATTAATTGTCACATCTCCAGTCTATGAACAGCCCACACACATGCTGACTCATGTCCAATACATTCATTAATTTAATATTCACTGCTGCACTCCATGTCCGACCGCCGCTGCATGCCCCCTGCAGGCGGTCATGTGATTTGATCACATGATTACTGCTGTTCCAGTGCACTGTTTGACCTTGAGTACAGTAGTGTGTTCAAAGAAGGCTTTGGACTTTTTTTTTTCTATTCAGAAAAGCTACAGTACTGCAGGTATGCAGTTGCACAGATTAAAAAAAACAACAAAAAAAACAAAGTATTTGTAAAAAAATAATTGGTTCAGTACATACTGTTACAGTAATGTAGGTTTATTATTATATGTTTCTGTTTAATATTAATAAAAAATCAGAAAGAAGTAAAAAAATAATCAGGCCTGAAATCTACACATTTCTATTTTTATTGTAACAAAAATGGCATTGACAGGTAAAAACTTGGTAATATCAGAAGTCTGTATTTTTATATTCAGTACTACTGTAATTCTATAGTACGGCAGCAGTAATTGTAGCTCTGATGGAAGAAGCACCACGCCACACCCAGAACCTCTTTCTCTCTGAGGTTTTACTGACCTTAGGTGTCATCGTCTGGGCCGGGCTGTGGCCCAGATGGTGCTGTCAGCAGGGTTTACTTTCACTGCCAGTGACAACCTGTGTCCTGGACCGACCATATGTCTGTCTGGCCAACTCTCATCGTAATTGGCCTGCCACACATTTATATTAGTGTTACTGTCTGTTAAATGGGGAGAAGGAGTTATTGTAATGCTTATATATACAGTTTTTTTTTTTAATTCCTAAAAAAACTTTTAAAACATTTTTCAGTAATCGTGGTCTGAAACACATTTGCAGTCCTACCTTTGACACTATCCAATTTACTGATGCTGCTGACGTTGATTATGGCTTTTTAAAAATGTGTCACGTCAGCAGAAACTGCAGAAAGTGCTTTGGTGGAGAATACACTTAGACTCACAGGAAATCAATAACATTATGATTGTTGGGTGACTTTATGAGGTATGAGATGCAGTACAGTTACTGCATAGGTACACACATTACCTCGAGGTAGAGTTATTTATACATTTAAAAAAGATACAAAATTGATCCAGCTCTAAGAAATGTAGTAGTAGTACTACTACTACTATGTCTACTTTTTCTGCAATCAGAAATACTGTAGAATATAAATTCCAGCTAAGGTCAAATGTCTTAGTTGTTTGGGAAGAGTTTTACAACTATCTACCAATTCAATCACAGGTTTATATCCGTATTGAAATAAATTAAACCTCCTTATTATTTTCAGCAATAATAAAATGTCATCTCACACGAAATGAGTGAACCACATATCAAATGATCAAAAAAAAAAAAGATTGACTGTAGAATCGTAAAGGTGTCTGGTTTAAATGTCTCTAAAGAGTGAAGAAGTATTACTGTTTGGGAAAAAATAGTTTTATTGTTGCTCTGTTGGTTATTGATGTCAAAGTGATGGTAAAAAGTGTTGTAAATCTGGTGAGTGGGAGGAAAAAAGACAACATTCCCCTTTTGCTTTGCATATTCAAAACAATTGTCCAATGAAAGTGCAGGCTGTATTTATGGACTGACCTATTTATGAGCTCCCTTTGGCGACACAACATTTTTAAGGCTGGCAGACTTCACCATACACAGGTGCGATCTGTGCCCCAGTCTGTAGAAACGGCTCTTTAACTTCAGATTTTATTCCTCTGTGGCCAACTCCAGTTCTTCATAAAGCTGAAGAAATAAAGGTCCCCACCCTGAAGTAACATTTTATATAAAAACACACAACAATCTACATTTAATGCTGGGAGATCGGCAGCTTTTACTGCTGAATTGAAGTACTTCAAAAAAGTTGGCACACCCAAATACGCTAACCCATTTGAACTCTTTTATGATTCTGAAGCAGTGTGTTTAACAAGCAGAAGTCTGTTACAATGAAATGGCCTTAAAAAGAGGGGGAACATCTGCTGATGCTACCATAGCCTTGGACGTGACCACCTCGGCTGAATGCTGTGGTTGCAGGGTTTGTTTTTGTTTTTGCTGCAGAGATGACACAATTGTCTAGAAGTCAGTACAGTGGACAGCCTAGATATACAGTAAGTTTAATCCGTTCTACAACAGCACTCATGTCTCAATCCACTCGTATCTACATCAAATTTTCCCCATTAAAATAACTAAAAACCAATTAATTTGTTCCAGCCTCCCAGAAATATACTATTAATTAAATTAAAATCCCCTCATCTAAACATTAGAAACATAGATATAAACAAATATATTGATAATATAAAACAAATTATATATTTTAAAATGATTTTTCTTATGGCACACTCGTAACTAGATATTTTCTCATATCAGGAGCAATATCTTGCTCCTCATTGTTGCAGACTCGTAACATGGACTACTTGTATTTCGGGAAGCTCGTATCTATGGAGACCACTGTAATAATGTGCACATGCCTTAGTCTTGTTCCTGGCGGCCATCTTTTGGAATGTGAGGTCTGTTTTGTAAAGTCATAATGCAGAAAATAAAATATAAGAGGAAGACTGATCAGTACATGTAATAAATACAGCAGCTTGAATGTCCAAAATGGCACCTAACCATGTAACCCCTCGAGGGAAGTAGTACTGTAGTAGTACCTTACCTGCGACACGGGTATGACGATGAAGGAGCCTCCTCCAGCGCTCTCTGTGACCACTGCCAGGAACTTTGAGTTGACGGCACAGAAGTGGTTATCATGAACATTCTTGGTGATGGGGACGCCGTCGTAACAGTGCTCCCGATTGGCTACTTTTCCATAGACATTTCGAAACTTGGAGCTTCGGTAGGTTGGACGCCATGACATCTAAGATTAAAAAAAACAAAACAATATGTAAATGTAAAGTATTAACCTGTACACTTCATATATCTGCTCTGAACGTCACCAACGGTTGTGTAAAGTCGTTGTCTCACACAACAACAAAGACAGATTGTTAGCACAAAATACACAATAGTTTTTACCATTTAAGAGAAATTGAATAGTTTTCCACAGCACACCTGACGATCTTGGTCGTCTGGAATCACTGCTTTTGATTATAACAAAATATAATTTCTTTTAACCATGTCAAGTACATTGATTCCATTTATAGATCTGAGTCACATCTGATCTATCACTTTTAGATCCTAATCAGCTGTTCCAAAGCTGTGTCGGCAGAGGCCGCAGAATGGCAGCTTGTTTGGTCAAACTGTAGAACAGAGGAGCAGCAGAAACTGGCCTGAGGGACAGTTGAAATAGAGATGGTTGGGGGGCGGGGGGGAGAAGACTCGGCCGCTTTGAGTTCTCCACACAAGGATGCTCATTGACTCGTCCACTGAGCAGTGGGGTCTGTCGCAGAGAGGATTCCTTTCCGTCTGTCTGCCGCCCGTCTATGTGTTTGTGTTCGGACGATCTCATTAGTGTTTGCAGCACAACCAGCACAAGGACTAAGGCTGTGCCGTTACCTGTGGTGTAACACGGTGAGAAGTTCCAATCTGTGTTCCTCCTCACATCACTACGTTTGTCTACATTTGTTTTGTAAGTGATCAAGAAAGAACGCTGCGATTTTTCAAAGCCAAGTCGTAGCCATGTGATCGCCACAAATAAGCTCGTACCACACAGTAATGAGTGACATGCCAATCATTCACCAGGAGAGCGTAAGAAGCAGTGCAGGTGAAAGGCATCAGAACTCCTGCAGTCTTTCAATTCATTAAAAACATGGACCAGTATCATTCTCTGGGACTGTCTGAGGTTGTAGTAACAGGAACAGGAGAATCCTATCATATCCATCTGCAGCACAGCCCCCGCTCCAGTCATCTTACCTTCCAACAACACCACAGCCTGTGTCCTCCTGCGGTGCTCCTGCTGTGATCTTATCAGTTTTCCCTTCTACATAAGAACTCCTCCAGGATCTCCTCTCTTCCTGCCTTCCTCTTTCCTTCCTTTCCTTTCGTCTCCAAACATGTGCACTCTGTCTCCTCGTCTCCTCCTCAAACTCTGTCTTCCCAGCCTCCTCTCCTCCTCCTGCTGCCAGATAGCTGGGGGCCTGGAACCTCCTCCTCCCCCCTGCCTTCTCTCCCATCCTGCCTGTCAGTCACCCCTCCGTCTCCGTCTGCCTCTCCCCTGTTCTGTCTCCAGTCCAGCAGAGTGGACATACTGGCATTCATTCTGCTTCCTCTCCTGAGCCGACCTTGTTCAGAATGATGACGGCCCCTTCTTCCTGCACCATCAGCACAGCTGTCACTCACTCACAATTTGTGCAGCTGCCTAATGACACAGGTTGAACTAAAATATTTAACATCACCTCCTGTCAGAGTGTTGAAGCCATCCAATCTTCGCACTCGCAGCGGAACAGAAAGTTTACATGTTTCAGACTGGCTGCATCTTCTTACATCACAGATATAACGTAGTGACAGAGATATAATGCTAATTCAGTGTTGATTGTCCATCCTCCTGATGTATCCATTAGCATGTCCTTCCATCTCACTCTTGCCCTTGCCTTCACTTATTGCCATCTCACCTACTGCTTCCCTTATCATCTCCATCTCCTCCATCACTGCATCCATTATTAACACAACCCAACAGCCAACGTCTTTTGTCCACAGTTTTCCCTCTTGTCCTCGGCCCTATCGCCAGACCTTCTTAATCCTGCCTCTTCAGTTTAGTCTCCAAAGTGTTCCCTGAGCTCATTGTTAACCCCGTACATCCTGGTTACTCACAAAGGAAATCTTAGTATCTTTATCCTTGTGACCTCCAGCTGAGCCTCCGGAATTGTAGACAATGCTATTGTCAACCCTACGACCAGATGTCATAGCAGGACACAGGACAATCTTTAAGACTAGTAACCATCTCATTGCATTCACAGATGTGCACACTGTAAATTGCTGCTACAAAACTATGACCAGAAGTCAGCCTTGACACTCGTTGGATTAAATCAAAATGCTCCAGTGAAAGGGTGTAAAAAAAGGGATATAAAAATATAGTTTTTGAAATTAAAAATGTTTTGTATGTCTTTTTTTCTAAACATAACCACAACATAATCATTTTTTTCAACATAATACAAGGGATAATATTTAAATGGAGGTGGAGGACAATATGAATTTTAAATCTGTTTGTACAGATGAACCCGTTGTATCAATACAGGGCAGGTGTTACAGTGAAAATTGTGTCCCTTGGTATTTGTCTAGTAGGGAAGTCTTGGCCTGTGGGCTTTGGTCTGTCCATGTCTGTGTGTGCGTTTGTCTGATTGAACCACATTTACTGTTGACCTTACAGCTGTGAGGCAGATCAGACAGTTCTGTTCAAATTCTTGCCTCAAGGTGTTGCTGCTTGAAACACACAACCCCCTTTCCTCCCTCTCTCTCTGTAGGAGTATCCTCTCTCTTATTCTTTTCAAAATGTTTTTTTTTTTTTATTTCAGACAGAGACAAACCTCAAACGCATCGAGTTTATTTTCAGGAAATTCGAATTAAATTTGAATCTACTGTTGGTTGAATTCTTAAACTTTTAACATCAGTGAAAAGGTTGACTGTTACAGTGAGTCGGGTGATTAAAGCTAACATTCAGACATATTACACTTCCTTCACCACCACTGCTCTATGTTACAATGGTCCTTCTGTGATGTAACAGAGACAGACGCTGCCTCTCAGCCACTCTGAGCTGAGGGCACCACCCTGGGTCATCTCTAATAAAGCCTATTCACATCACTTCAATGAAAATCCATGTGATAACTGTGTGTTTTTTTTCTGCCAAATAAGGAAGTTCAACCATCTGAGCCTAAATTCAACTCAAACAATAGCAAACCTTCAGGGAAACTGCAGGCCCTGTCATTCAGTGAAGACACACTGAAAGCCGTGATGACAGCTTCTTTGTCTGAAATCCTCTCGGCAACAGTTTCACTGTACAAGGACTTCCGTTTCTGAAACCAAACATCATAAAATGAGGGATGTTCTCTGGGCTTCTTTGGCAAACTTGGCAAACTCCTCTCAAAGAAAAACTGGACACTTTAAGGACTTTACAGCTCTGTTTGATGAGACAACAGTGTTCATGCTGAAAAAAAGACTTTTGTATGAAAGTGTTTGGACCCGTAGAGGTCAGCTGACAGACGACAATGAAACTACTGCTGGAAGTCACTCCGGATGAAGGAAGATTCCAGAAGAGTGACGCAACATTCCACTTTCAGAACTTAAACAATAATCTCATGTCAAAGGAGGAACAATTACTGCTGCACGTTAAGAACAAAAAAAACTCAACTTTCAAACCAACAAAACTATGTGGTGATGAAAAAATGTAAAACACACCACATAAAATCAGGGTTTTGTGCTAGATTTATGTATGTTATAGTATATTTGCCCATGAATTGAGGACTATCCTTTATAAACCAACTCCAGAAATGTGACGTGATTGTTGACTTTAAAAAAAAAAGTCTGCATAAACCTTAGTATAAATATCTGATTTCTCCCAAACTGTTATCTCTTTTAACCACCATCACTTTTTTTTCAGGTCCCCAACAGAATCTGGATCCAGGAAGATAAATTCAACATATCCTCCGACTCTCATCCTGATTCTCCGACATTTTTGCTGCCAACACAAGGTGAGTAACTGTATTCACTTGAAGTTATATACATTGAATTTAAACTAAAAGGTTTAGTTTCTTCAAGTTTCATGGGAGTTTAGTGAATGACCAAAGTTGCTAAAAGAAGCTGACATTCCTAAGTCGAAGTCCTTTATTCATCCCACAGTGATAGAACAGGATGTGGAGATAACAGTTTGACTGTCACACACCAGTAGCGAGAGATGTTAAGTGCTGGAGTGTGTGCATATACTATGACATAATGGTGGGAGATGTTGGAGCAGAGATAATGGCAGCTCTTAGGCCTGAAGCCAATGCTGTTAACCTGCAGTAGTGGTGCAAATGGCACAACTACTCAGAGACAGGAAGCAGAAAACACTCGTGAACAGCATTTATCAGTACATGGAGGAGTACATGGAGGAGTACATGGAGGAGTACATGGAGGAGTACATGTCCTGGAAAACTGTTAGTATCAGCTGTACTCCCAGAAACACAATCACTAAACTATACTAGGCGTGTTGAGGTTTTTTGTTTTTTAAATATTTAACTTATGGTATAAAAGAGCTACATGGGGGGGGGGGGGGGGGGTTAGAAAACAAATAAAATTAATTCTTCATTAACTTCATTAAATCATATCGTATCCTGATATGATTTAGTTTTGCTTCAAACTAATCAGAGCCCTTGACACCAGCTTGTCAAACCAAAAGGTTCAGGTTTTAAACTGACATTTTTCACTGGTTTGTTTTTTGGTTGAGGTTTCAGTTCAACACTGGTGCACCCTTAAATAAAAAGGGAGCGATCTGCAACCAGATGAGTCATCATGCGACAGTCTGTCCAGTCGAGACAAATGAGTCTGGACAATTTTCTTTTTTTTAATCTCAGGGTGAAATGAATGATAAAAAACAGACAGAATGACACAGATAATTGATCCCAGGACAAAGAAGCAGTTTGTGTGCTACAGGCGTACAGTATGAACAGTCACTCACAGTCACTGGGTGACTGTACCGGTGAACACACTCAGCTCTCTGAAATGTCCATATGTTTTTATGGAGAGAGAAAAGCTCAGTTAGTTGGTATAAGAGTACAGCTGTGTACTTCTACGCAGTAACCTGTCAGTAGTTGGTATCTGTTGGATTTTACTGTTGGAGTTTGGAGAAAGATGGAAAGTAACTGGATTAGAACAAATGTAAACATCAGATTTATTTTCCTGTAAGTCAAGAGTAAGAAAGTGAATGGAGACAAGAGAATTTTTTTTTCTCTTGCAGGAGTTGGTGTAAAAAAAAAAATTCAAGTACAAGCGGCTAATTAATTTGATCCATAGACGGACAGATGGCTCTTGTATCACTGCCAGCCTTAGGTTGGGGGAGGGGGGAACTACAGTCTGGTGCAATTATTGGAGAGGACACTTCAAGGGAACAATACCAACGTCTCCACCAGAGGGATTTAAGTCTTTAGTTCATGTGCTCCAAATGTTACCATGTGGTACCTGTTTTTCTAACAATTAAGACAAAAATACAAGTCAAATAAAAAACCAAATGGAGGAGGCACGTTTGTTAAATACATTCTATTGTGTTGAAACAACAGAGCATCACGGGACGTTCATATTATTCTCTGAGTCGAGAACAAGACTGACTTATTCATTCACTGACGGACTACTGTGTTTTCTGGCAGTCAAGGTGAGACTGCAGCTGGTGAGTCTACATCCAGTGTCAACTCATTAACAGACATCAGTTCTTCCGTATATGGGTGAAGGTTAATGTGTCGTGAGTTTGACCCACTTCACAGTGTTGATGCAGCCTAAAACTAATGTCTGAAGCTCAATTCCTCCCGACTTTCTGTTCCTACCAGTGATTATATTTCATTTTCTACAACCTTAAAAAACATGAGGTAAAATAAATGCCACCCGATGACGGTGTTTTCTGTCTGTCAGTCAGTCTGTTCGATCTCTCATACATGGTCACTCATGCTGTGGCCGCAGCTCTGCTGGATTGATCTGTTTACCGTCGATTGAACCTCCACAGCGGAGCAGGGCCTCAGTGTCCCAGATTGAAGTGCAGCTGTAATGATGCAAAGACCTCATTTCACTTTCCTCTGTGGAAACTCATATTTAATTTAGGATGGTATTCCATAAGGGATTCTATATTGGTCTCATCTACTTACCTCATCGCTCACTTCCTTTCCTGACTCCTTACCTACTTTGGCTGCACTGTCCCCGTCTCTGCGTATCAGATATTTATAAGTCCAGGTAATCGAAATGGCACACATTTCACTTTCATTAATGTTCATTTAAATGCATACCAATACACAAAGGTAATTTACATCAAATTGTTGTTGTTTTTTAAATGATTCCATTTTAGATTTTTTTTTGTTATAACTCATGCTACATATTCTGTCCTTCTTTTTGTTCTGTTATATATTTAAATGCATTGTTTTACCTAGTTTTGTTGCTGCGTCATTGAAAGTAGGTGCACCGACAAACAACAAACTGACATCTTAGCTAACATTGTTTATGCTCACTCCATGAATTTATTGATTCATTCATCATC